TCTAAGTTTACTCTTAAAATATACTCAACATAAAGCACAAAGTAAAAGTAAAGTATTTCAGCTGTTGCCTGACAAATCACAACCCCCCCATACTCAAAGGAGAAAGGGAACAAAAATGAATGAAATGTCCACGAACTCTGCAGTACCAAGGCCCCTCCCTGACAGAAGCCCTCCCGCATGCCTGCCTAGTATCCTGGACAGTGCAACAGAGTGTTAACGGCGTAAGTTTTGAAGCTAAATGACCCACGTTTGAATATTGCTTTATCACTCAAAGGTGTCTGACTTACACATTTTTGTGCTTCTCTATGAAATGGGGACTATGATGACAGAACCTAATTTATAGTGTTTTGAGAGGAATACATACACTTGGAAGGCTCAAAGCAATTGTCTTTCTAATTAACTTACTAGGCACATAGTAAGTGTTCAAGAAGTGTTAGCTTGTTATTAGTAGTATCTAAATCAAGAATATGGAGAAAAGTTACAGGATTATGACCATTTACCATACTCCTCCTAATCCATCTGAGACCCACAGCAGAATCAGAACAAGGGAATGAAAGACACCATGTGGAAGGGACACTACAAAGGAGCTGGCAGCTTAACAGCAGTACCGTTGATTCTAAATGTTTTAGGGGGAGAAAGGATAACAGAAAGTGGAATGTACAAGTAAAGAGAGGAGGAAAGCTGTTGTCAGTGGGTCTCATCTAGAGGTAATACACATGTGTTTACTGAACCTTCTGTTCTTCCTCTAACAAGAATAGCTACACTTTAATTTGCATCATGGACTAAGAGAAATTACAGAACGAGAACAGGGTTGAGATTAGACTCGTAAGAGTACACACTTGCACTGAGGAGCCCGTAAGGGACACTGGGTAATCAGTGATGAAGAAGAAAGACTAAGAATCAGGACAGTACAGTGTGATCAGTAGAGGAGAGTATTTTACATAGAGAGGAGTGGTCACAAGGATTGGGCTGAAGAAAAGTGGAGAAGGCCCTTTTCCTAGACAAAAACACAAACAACTTTATACACGCACGTGTGTAACACCGCAGGAGTTGTTTCATAAACTATGAGAACTAAGAACAAGCTACTTACATGGCATACACACAGCCTGAAAACTTCCAACATAATTTGGTCCGAGTTCAAAAATGGTGGTAACATTTGAAGGAGGCAAAACTTCTTCCAGAAAGTGAGTGGGTCCCAGGCGCCAAACTAATGAAGCAATTTGGCGCTGGGCAGGTGGAGTACCAACGTAGGCGTAGACTGTGCTCACCACTGGGGGATTTGCAGAGCTTGAACCTCCAGAAGTGCTGTGAACATAATGAAGCTGCAGGACAAAAGCAAACGTGTAAGGCGTGAAGAAACACTTTCACCAAAAAACCCCAAAACGAAACAAGCCAAAACCTTCCACTGTGTCTATTTCATAATCCCAAAGCTACACAACCTTCCAAATGTACCAAAACATCTGGGGTGAAGGAAAGTAAGGGCAGGGCAAGACTCAGGGATCTGAAACTGCGCATCTAACACGGCAGCTGAAGATTTGTTATTCAGCTCTCTAACTCTGACTCTTTAATGCCAGAAATGGCAACAATCAAACAAAGGGATATTGTCACTGGGTGGTTTGCATCAAATTAATATGCTTCTCTAAAATTCTACTGTTGATATAAAAGGAGATTTCCATCCTGGGATTCAAGTAGTCTTAAAGTTAGCTGTTACCTTCAGTGTGAATCTACTAACTAAAATTACTGAGGAGAGTGTTTTATAGACATAAAATACTAGAAGAATATTAAAAAAAATAGTTTATGGATGCACTGCCATTTATACTAATATAGATTACCCTTAATCTAAAGTACTAACCACTATTGATTGACACTTTCAGATCTGAAATTAAAACTACTGTTTATTGATGGGTGCCTAAGTTATCATTCAATTCACTTATAATAAATGGTATAATTTGGCAGAGTATAAGAGATAAGGTTATTAAGTTGCTTTTTCTTGCAGAGGCAGCTTTCATCACTAAGGCAGATTTTACTACTTACTGGGACATTTCCACTGATTATTCTATTATAACAGCATCTCGCCTCTATATTTCATCTACCATTCTATATATTAACAAACAATTCTTGGTGATGTTAATAGTATAAATATGAAGACCAACATGTGAACTAAAGTTGACTTCACAGTACTGTCACTACTCAAGGTCACAATGATGTAAATATATTTAATAATAAATTTCCTATCCCTAAATTCTAGAAGTTGATATTTTTACTTTTACACACACACAAGGAGCAATCTGCTACACAATCAACAAGCCCATTTCAAATGGAATCATGTATATAAGCAATTAATGACAATTCCCTAAAGGAACATTTTAGGGTTTATAATACAGAAACATGGTGTCATAATAAAATACCATTATCATTAAGGAAGGGAAGATGTTAAAAGAAGATGCTGCTTTCAGTACTTTTAAAACTTTAATTCACACAAAATGGTAGTTTCCCTTTGTTACTGGTTTCAAGTACTATCATTCTAAAATAGATAGGATCTTTTAGAACTTAAAGAAATTTAAGAGTTTGCTCACTGAGTTGTATGGAAAATTATTAGCAGCATTCTTCCTGATTCAGAAAATGGAACTGCACCTTTCTTTATTGGTTACTTCAACTCTCTTCTCTATCTTCTGAATACCATTGTATAGATACCTAGAGTGATATTTATATACTCATTTATTTAACAAACAAAAAACTGAAGGTCTGTAATATAAGGGAATAATCTGGGAGATATGAAAACAAAGAAAAAAAACAATTCTGGCTCTGAAGAAATATGGAATTTTCTGTAAGAAATTAAGTAACAATGAAGCAATAAAACCGTGTGTTCACAGTTATTTAGCAATTCCTTAACTGCTTTTTATATATTTTCTTTTTAATATATTTTTTAAGAGACAGGGTAGAGTACAGTGGTATGACCATGGTTCACTACTACCTCGAACTCTTGTGGTAAAAGATCTTCTTGCCTCAGCCTCCCAAGTAGCTTAGACTATAGGCACTTAGGTAATTTTTTTAAAACTTTTTTTTGCAGAGACAAGATTTTGCTACATTGCCCAGTCTGGCTGTAAACTCCTGGCATAAAGTGATCCTCCACCTTGGCTTCCCAAACCATTGGGATTACAGGTGCAACTCACTATGCCCAGCCTCAACTGGTTTCTCTACTATGGAAAAGCACTTAGCAATCTGGTTAAGTTCTGACACATTCAGTAACTTCCTTATCACCTGTAACCCCTCATTTATTTTCTTCCTTAATAAAGTGACAAGAATTAGCCACATGATTCTAACATGTTATTCAGTTATGTTGAAGGTCAACTTAAAATTAAGATGGTAACCTTAAAAAATACACCTGCAGAATACATGCACAGGTACCCTAAACTCTCGTCAAGTAGGGCGATTTCCAGATGTGCATACTTACCTTGACAGTGTTAACAAGCTGTCCATCAATATACAGGGCTGCAGTGCTGTTTTTCAACATGCCTTTGCTCATCACCAGAACCAGATGATGCCACTGTCCCTCAACTATGAGGTCTCCACATCGAAAGCGAGCACAGCATGGGAGAATCTCATAGAACGAGGACTCTTCACTAAAATCATCAACTAAAACAAAGGGGGAGGAAATGTAAAAAACCTTTTCCAATACCATCCCTATTCTAAGAATTATTCATATCTAGATCAGCGTGTTTTGACTTTGCACTATAACAAATGAAATGACAATGCAAATGAAGTACACTATTCATATAATAAACTGTCTGGAGTAAGCAGTAAAACCTAAGAGTAAGCAGTAAAACCTAAGAAGTACACTATTCATATAATAAACTGTCTGGAGTAAGCAGTAAAACCTAAGAGGTATTTTTGCTTTGTTTTGCTCAAGAGATGTAGAGTTATAATCAAATAAAGTTACAATAGCTGATAAAGAATAAATAAAACAAAACAGACAATAAAATACAGCTGTGATAAGCAATAAAAAGAGATTAGTCAACACCAAAACCAAAAATAGATGAGTGGGACTACATCAAACTGAGAAGTTTTTGCACAGCCAAGGAAACAGCCAAGAAGCAACAGAGCAAAAAGGCAGCCTGTGGAAAGGGAGAAAATACCAAAAACCATGAAAAGGGGCAAATTTCAAATATATATAAGGAACTACTACAATTCAACCATGGAGGAACTAATAATCCAATTAAAAAAAAAATGGGCTAAGGATCTGAATAGACATTTTTCCAAAGAAGGTATCCAAACCGTGGACTGGTCCGTGAGAAGGTGCTCGGCACCCCTAATCATCACGGAAAGGCAGTCCAAAACTACAGCATCACCAGATGGGTTAGTATGTTAAAAAGAGAGAGAGAGAAAAAAAAAACAGCAACAGTTGTTGAGAATGCAGAGAAACTAGAGCCCTCATGCACTGGTGGTGGGACACAAAGTGGCACAGCTGCTATGGGAAACAGGACGGAGGTGCAACATTGAAACTAGAGCCGAGATATGATCCAGCCACATCACTTCTGGTTATTTATGCAAAAGAATTGAAATCAGGATTCTGAAGCAGTATAAGCATTCATATGGATGGATGAATAAATGAAGAAAAAGCATACAATAGATTACTAGTTGGCCTCAAAAAGAAGGAAATTCTGCCATATTACCACCTGGACAAATCCTAAGCATGTTCTATACTGCATGGTTCATCTTTACAAGTGATCAAAAATAGTCAAAGTCATCGAAATGAAGAATGAAGTGGTACATGCCAAGGGTTTGGAGGAGTGGAAAATGGAGAAAAGTATACTCTCTGATTTGCTAACATTCTACAATCACTTCCTGACACAAATCCGGCTTCTCTCTGTTATCTAGTACGTTATCAGATCAAGCAAAGAGTATGGGTCCACAGTAATTTGATTTAAATGTTAAGCTAATTAAAAATTTATGTTTCTCTTCTAAGTATTTAAAAGGGGGGAAGACAGCAATGGAAAGCTAGAGATGTTAAAGACTCATTTAAAAAAAAAAATCAAGACAGGCCAGGCACGGAGGCTAACGCCTGTAATCCCAGCCCTCTGGGAGGCTGAGACAGGTGGAATGCCTGAGCTCAGGAGTTTCAGACCAACCTGAGCAAGAGTGAGACC